ATTATATCTGGCATTATATTTTGACTCTGTCTTCCCATGACAATATCATAATCAAAGTATAGACATATTGTGTAGAATGGGGGTTCTAAAACTGGTCTGTGGACCATTTGTTGTCCATGAGGGCATAGTAAATGGTCTGCAGTCAGCCTGTGAATTTCATCAGCTACACACTGAAAGAGGGCTCACTAGGTGGCATAATTCCTGGCTGAAAAGCAGTGCCATAGCCTCTTCTCTACTACGTAACCTAATGCTCTAGATCAGTGGTTTTCAACTTGTGGTCCACAGACCCCTGGGGATCTGGAAACCTTGTCTAAGGGGTCTGCAGAAAGTAACTATGAACAATCAAAAGTATGTGAATAGTGGCACTTATAATTCAAAGGGGTCTGCACCTCCATTCAAAATTTTTTAGGGATCTGCAAATGAAAAAGGTTGAAAACTACTGCTCTAGATGTACCCCTGGCCTGAGAACCACTGTAAAAGGTGTAAGAGGGTGTTTGGGAGGGGTGAAGCCCCTCTCCTCTCCAAAGAGGGAGGTACTTTACCCAAGTAGAGTTGTTTGGAAAGTGGAGCCACTTCTTCCTGAGGAAACAAGTAAAGGAAACATTTTGGAGAAGTCTTATATTCTGAATGGCGTGTGTGTGGTGGCCCATTAGAAATGTTGGGGGTTGATAATGATGGAAAAGGTATGGATTAATTAGGATGAGTGCAAAGTACAGCACGTAGAGGAGAAGGTATTTAGGCAAATGAGAAGGCAGCAGTGCTGCAGAAGATCTGGGGATCATATCGGATCACAAACTGAAAATGCCAACAATGGCATGCTGTTGTGAAAAAAGTAAACATCATACTGAGGCATACAAATAGGAGTGTTATGCATGACAGGAAATAATTCTTCCACTGTACTCAGCAGTGGGACAGCCTCAACTGCCATGCTGTATCTGGTTTTACACACTACTCTTCAAGAAAGATATGGACCAGCTGAAGAGAGTGTTAACAAGGAGCAACAACGATGATTAGAGTAATGACCCATGAGGAATGCTTACAGAACTAAATACTTGGGCTTGTTTAATCTAGAGAAAAAAGACTGAAAAGAAATGACAGCTTTCAAAGATGCTACAATGTAGATGTTCTCCATGTCCACTGAGGATAGGTCAAGAACTAATGGGTTTACATTGCAGCAAGGGAGATTTAGATTAGACATTAGGAAAAGCTTTCCAACTGTAAGAATAGGTAAGCACAGGAATAGGTTACTTGGGGAAGCTGTGAAATCTCCATCATGTTTTTAACACCAGCTTAGACAAACATCTGTCAGGAATGGTTTAGGTAGAGTTGATCCTGCCATTGAACAAGGAAATAAACTACCTGGCTGCTCAGCATCCCTTTCAGACTAATTTTCAACAATTCAGTGATTCCCTATGATGAAATGCAGTTATCTCTACTTGGCAGAGGAAGGTCCCCTAGCTATTTACTGGGTAGATCCAGCAGCCAGTGTCTACATAGGATTTGGATATTCTAAGAATCTTCCTTCAAAATCCCATCTGAGGCAACAGTCCTGCACAGAAAGGAAAAAAGGCCAGAGGTGTGCCTCAACTTTCTGGAAAAAAGTATACATTCTGCAGGTATTCTCATATAAATCCTAAAAAAGAGCAGGAATACTGCTGCCTGTATTATCTAATATCTTCAGTTCCATTAAAGCTGAGAAGCAAGAAAAGGTACATTTCAGTAAAAAGAATATTAATTTGGAAAAAAATGAATATGAGAAGAAAGAAAATAAGGCTTCTAAACTCCTCCCGTCCTTAATATGCCATATGAAAAGGATTGTGTTTGAGTTATTTACGATGGCTTATCTCTAGGTGTAAATACCTTAACAAATAGCACAAGAGAGTGAATCTGCAGACTATTTTAAAGTTTCTAGAGTTACCATACAGTTCTGGGGAAAATTTCACAGAGAAAGAGTACTATAGAGCTTGGGTCATAGCACAGTATATTCAGACAGTATGTTGTGGGTTATACCAAGGACTCTGATCTTGTAGCCTTGTGTTTACCACCAACTTAATTTGTGAACGTGGGAAAGTTGTTACCCATCTTTAAAGTCAGTGTAATTTTTCTTTACAAATTGTAGGGGTGCAGAGAAGTTTCCTAATGTAGGGGTACCAAACTCAGATGAGTGGTGCAGGGCCAGTCCCCAGGCCAGAGCAGGCCCATGGCCCTGTCACCTGCATGCCCAATCCCATGCATGTGGCACCTGCCTGGGCTGTTCTGGGATGTTAGCCTGAGACCAGTCCCAGCAAGCACCATATGCAGCACAGGGCCAGCCAGCACAACACATGAGTCAGTGGGACAGTGCTGGGGGCAGATGATGGAGCTCCATGGGTCAGATCTGGCCCGTGGGCTGTATGTTTTGACACCCCTGACCTAATGTATTAGAAACAGGTTACTTGTGTGTAAGGCTAAATATGGTCCCAAAGCTGTATCTACTTCCACCAGCTCTCTGGGTAAACTTATAGCATCATACTAAGCAGGCAAGTTCTTTGAGTAGATGTGATATCTTTTATTAGACCAACTGAGTAGCTGGAAAAAAGGTTCTTGGCAAGCTTCCAGGTGCAGATCTCCAATTATTTCCTTTTTCACAGACAGCCTCTTTTCTACTTTGTATTCTGTTGCTGTAATGTCTCCCTTTGGCCTTTTTCCCCCCTGCTTTCTTCCCCCTCCCTTACCTGCTTTACCTTTTGTCTTTCTAATTTCTACCTATTTACATTTTCGCTGACATCCTGCCACACTTTTAGCTTCTCTCATTCCTTGGAGTCTCACACCAGCAGAGGCTCCCTATACCTGAAGAAGGGTGACTGCACTCGAAAGCTTGCCAAGAACTTTTTCCCCAAACTACTCAGTTGGTCTAATAAAAGATATCACATCTACTCAAAGAACCTTGCCTGCCTATGTCCTTAGTCCAACGCAGCTACAACCAAAAACCCAGCAGCATCATACTACAAACTTCTCCATAAATGGGTTGTCCTAGACCTATTCACATGCAGGGTTGAGGCTTTATCTTGCATCTTCCTTAGTAACCTGGAAGAAGTGTGAAGAGCAAATTAGTGAGATTCCCTGGAATGTGTTAATGAAACTCCCAAGTGATCCTGCAGTTTTGAGGTACACTGAAATCATACAAACAAACCTCCTGTAAATGACTTACGACAATAGGGGACAATAAAAGCAGGCTTTCAAGTATTCTATAAGAATAACCAGGGGTGTAGGTTGTAGCCATGCTGGTCTAAGGACATAGGTAGACAAGGTTCTTTGGGTAACTATGATATCTTTTATTAGACCAACTTAAATAGTTGGGGAAAAATTCTTAGCAAGCTTTTGGGTTTAAAAACCCTTTGTCAGGCTAAACCCGAAAGCTTGCTAAAATTTTTTTTCCAACTATTTAAGTTGGTCTATGTCCCGGGGAGCCAAATAATAAGTGGGACTTACCAGCAGAGCGGAACGATGAGCACGTGACACCGCCAGAAAAACCCGCGCAGCGCGTCAGCCGCCTTTTTGTATGGGTACACCCAGCCGGTAACGTCATCGGGAGCCGCCAGCTGGCAAGGATAAAAGCAGCACCTGTGGCAGCAGAGGGGACAGAGGGCCCCATGGGAAAGCAGGTACCGGCTCAACCAGCGGTAGGGGCGGATAGCCCCTGGGAAGAACAGCCACCGAATCTGCCAGAGAGAGCGGCAGCGACCAGAACGACAGAGGAGGTAGAAGAGGGGCCAGAGAGGCGAAGACAAGCAGCGTGGTGGGAGGCTGCTCCAGAGGAGGAAGGTGCAGTAAGGGTGGTCGCGGAGAACCTGCCAAAGCACCAGAGGGATGGCAGCATGGGGCCCCGGGGAAGTGCCAGAGAGACGCTGCAGAGGCTCAGCCATACAACAGGGGAGAAACCCTGGGACGACCCCAAGAGGGTGTCACCGGGCGGGGATCACTGCTACATCATGGTACAGCGAGCTGAGGGAGGCACCAGGAAGGCTGGAGTCAAGTACGGCACAAAAGGACTGGTGAGGTCTAGTTAGAAGGCTCCGCAGAGCGACGGCTGAGTAGTTGTGATTTAAGTTGTGTTGGGGGCAGGGGGGTATCCCCGGTCAGGGAAGGGAGAACCGAGTGGGTATCCCTATAGAAGGGATGTCTAGGGTATTGCGGTGAGGCCAGAACCTGCGCAGCGACCCCGTCCAGGGTCAAACAGGGAGAGGCCAGAGGGCCCGTGGGCCAAGCATAGAGCTAAGCACCACGACAGGGGCAGGCCGGGAGGAAAATAGTACCCTACGGCTGTAGACCTGGACCCATAGAGGAAGAACACACGGGAGGTGGCGTGAGGCCAGGGTGTAGGGGTGGCAGAGCCCCATGATGTGACCGCCGAGTGATCCTGGGCCGCAGAGCATACCACAAACTGACCTTGACACTGAACGAAACATCAAGTCGTGGCGGGCAAGAACAAGGCCGGGGACTGGGCCGAAAGAGACCTGCTTTGATCCCAAAGTGATCCCGAGAGGGGAGCGACATCTCTCTATAGAAGGGGAACCACCCAAGGGCGAGGAATTGAAACCCGGCAGTCACAGTCTAATAAAAGATATCAGATTCACCCAAAGAACTTTGTCTGCCATAAGAATAACCAGACTTTTCAAAAAGGTTTATCTCCCACCTGTATCCAACTTCCAACTTAATTCTGAACCTAAGTCTATTAAACTAATTACAAGACACATAGGTTTGAAGGGGTCCATGGAGTGAAACGACCAACCGGGCAGATGGACCTGAGATCCTTCTATGTGGAGGTGGACTGATTGATGGAGTAAGGATTCCTCCACATATACTTATATCACTCAGTAGAACTGCCCAAAGAGTCTAAGTGGCACTTCCATTGTCATGCATGATTAGCCTACAAATGTCAGTTAACCACTCAGTAGGCAGGTGTGTCCTTCTACAGGGTTTTATCTTCCCCCTTGTGCTAGTAAAGTAACCAAGTCATATACCTGTAATTAATATTAGTGGTTTAGTTAATTTTCTCTGCTTGAGTTAATGACTTTACAAAAAAAAATAGAAAGGTATCTATCAGGAGCAAGTAAAATAAAGCCCTAGGCAACCATGAAAATTGCACAAGGAAGTGTTTGGATTTGTTTGATTCACCGCTTTGCCATGTAAGCTAGCATGCTTTTCTCTTCTGACAATATGATGCACACAAGTATTTTAATAATTTGATGGGAAGACCTGATGCAAAGAATATTATTTGCCTTCCATAATACAAGATTGTGATTTTAGGTATACAGAGAAACAACCCCTCACATGTTATGCAATTACACTAGTACATTCATTTTAAAGGAAAGGCATGGGTCATTATTAGCAATGCTACTATGGATGATATGGGTCTGTCAGGAAAATTGCAACTTGATATACTAGCACCACATGCCTTTTAGGCAGCTAATTCTGATCTTATTTGCACAGAAATGATGCATTGAAAACATAATGATTCAAAGCAAAAATCACAGTCCAACCCAAAAATGGATTCCAGTAATTTTGGGAGAGGTGTTTTTGTGCCCTGTCTTAACAGTCTGATTTCCTACAATGAATGAAAGAATGGACCTGCAAAGTATTTTTTACACCTTCTAAGGAAAATGGAACAAACTGAGGCTGATTTGATTTCTTCTAAGTGATCCTTCCTGAATCTCAGTGACATAGGACCTTGCAGACATAGATGTTATGTTTACAGCTGGCTTATTCCACTGGATCTTGCCCTCTCTGTTAACACTGGAAATCTTCTCACCTAATGATGGACCACATACTGTTATTTTACATTCTGATTCTCCCACCTTTAGTCAGGTTGAGTTGCAGTTACATCAGTTGACTTACATGTATAAGCCCTAGCAGCTCTGAGTTGGGGTTGAAGAATCAGATTTACAGGCACAAAGAGTGTGACCTGTAACTGGGTGAAAAGTCTGAAGCGAAATTAAAATGCTTTCATAAACTGAAACACCCAACAGACATTTTTTTTGTTTTCTTCCTGCCTATGTAGTTGTAATGTTTTGGAAAAGAAATCAAATGGCTTTTAATACGAAATGTTACTGATGTAGTAATACATTATCTATACTATGCAGGCATACAGTCACTAACTATACAATTCAGACAAAGTTTGCACTAGAGCCCTCAATGTTAGTGTCTACTTCTTTCAAAGCTGCTTCTTGATTGCAAACCACACATAAATTCAGCTTTCAAAACTCAGAGCCCATCAGTAGTTCAAAAAACTTAAATTTTGTCAGAATGTCATGACTGTTTATTATGCTGCTTTGTTTTCCATTCCATATATTATAAAGAGGCTGCAGTTCTAAGATGGCTGTCTTTTTCCAGATCTGGACACTGCCCATCTTGACTAATCTTATGGCTGGCCTGGAAAGCTGACGTATTTGGCACAGTTCACATTTTGCTTTGTTGCGTTTCAGACCAGAAGTTCTTATTGTTTTAGAGATTTCCTCTGAGTACTTGCTTTTTTCGTCTGAACATTCCCATACATCATCCATGTAGACAGTAAACACCTTTTTTGCATCTTAAATAGTTGTCCCTTTTCTCAGTGAAAACTGTCCAAAATGCTATAAAGACAAAATGGAGAACACATGAAACACTGTTGACTCACTTAAGTTATCAAGGCCCCAACCCTACAAGCAGTTTGATGCGAAAGCCGGGTATCTGACTATGCAGAATAGCTTGTGGATCCATGGACTTTAGTTCTGGGATTTTCGTGATCCTAGATACCTAGGGACTTGAGCACACCTCTTATCTAGCTACATCTTCAAGTATATCCCAAGTAAAGACTCACTGCATTTGAATAAGTATGGTCAATATAGATTTATGTCTTCCCCCCATGACAGAAACAATAGGCTTACATACTACTTAACTGTCCATGAATCATCACAGTAACTCCATTACTCTCCATTCTTTCTAATTTTACCTGGCCTTTTGGCAGTTGTGGAGCAGATAGTCTCTGTGTGGTACTCACACAATAGAACTTCATATTAGGCATCATTGCAATTTTTCCCAAATTAATCCAGTTACAATGTTGGCCTGGCAGAACACAACCATATGGTAATATGTACAGCTTGCCCTTTCACTTGTTTGTTTGATACACTGCCCTTTGCATGTCAACACAGTCCTTGGGGATTTCAAGATAGCGCTAGCAGACAGCAGCTGCAAGAATGGCCAAACTGTATCATACATCAATTTTGATATTGTAGAAGTGTCAGCACTGGAGTCAGTCTTAAAATTCTGATATTTGTGGGGCACTCTGTTAAAGATTATTTTCCAATCACTTTTTTCTGAGTAATTTTTATACTCTAGGGATCCTCAAAAGTTTCTGTTGTTATTACTTCTTTCCCTGATTTGATGTAGCATACTCTGACTTACTGGCTTTTTTTTCTTTTTACTTTCAGTGCATTGTTGTTTTTGATAACTGGTAATCAGGCTGAATGTACTTATGATTGCCTCTGAAACAGCTCTCTTTCATGGATATTCTATTTCTGCTCCTACCTTGCAATTATGACACACACATACTTTTCATTAGTGATTGCCCAGTTTAATTTTTCCTTAATAAAAGTCTGTGATAGTTTCCCTTTGTACAAAATTTGAGGGTTTTTCTCTTAGTTTGTAGTGGTGAACCTTCATGCTCTGTAATTATTTTGGTCATAAAAAATTAAAATTGAGATTACAAGATCCAAGAGAAAATATAAAAGAAAACAATTAATAATAAATCAATGGTCATATCTCTCTTTTTTCATAGCCTTCTGTTGAAAACCTTTCTCTGATGTTGATCTTTGCTCTTTCAGGCTGATAGAACTAGCCATTTCATATGGATTTTTCATAAAGTCCTGAGTTGTCTCCCCTTCATTTTGGCAGTGCTGACAACAACATGCCCTTTCATGTTTTATTCCTTTCAGGGATAAAATATTCAGCAAGTTTGCAGAAATGCATCATAACCATATGTATGCTCTCTACTAGGGATGTAGAATGATTTGAAAACATGCTCTGCTTTTCTTCCGAACTGCACAGATGAATAAATTAACTTGGACATTTCTTTTTATCTGTTTCGCTTTGTACTTCATTGTAGTTGTCTTAACCCTAGAAAAACTTTGATTCCTTTTTTGCTATTGTGCAATCATGACAAAACTGAATGGCTTATGAAAAAATATTCATAATTATCAATGTATTGCAAGAACTGGTCACTTCCGCTAGACATCAGGAAAAAAGACCAAGTCCTCACAGCCCAAAGTTTCACCTGTATCTGCTTTTTTTTTTTTTTTTTTTTTTTTTTTTTTTTTTTTTTTTTTTAAAGTGTTCATGTTTTGACAGCTTGGATCTAATTCTGTGGAGGTACTCTGCACTCAGTACCTCTGAAGTCAACAGCAGATGTGGGAACTCCAGCACCTTTGAAAGTTTGGTAGTAAGTGTCATACTCACCACACAAAATTACCATTCTTTTGAAAATGTTGGACTTAAAGCAGAGCTTTGGTTTTCTCATCTGTTAAATGAGATACTGAATGAATGCACTGGTTGTGAAGATTTCTCAGTAGCTTAATTATCTTTGAACCTGGAAAGTACTAAATACTTTTAATATTTTTACTGTTCTATGCATTCTTTGCAGCCATGCACTCTTTCCATGTAATAAAGTAACTTTCCCCCTTTGTTGATAAAACTGGAATATTAGAAATTTGAAATATGCAGGAGTAACACTCTGACCATAACCACATTGCAGGAATGAAATATGGCTTTCTGCTACCCAGTCATAATTCCCTGCTAAAAGACTGACATTTTGCTATAATGATTTTATAATATGGTCATTTATATTTACTTTATTCAAAGTTTTGGATTGGACTTCACAACTCTTCCTTTTTTCCCAAGCACTCACAGGTCATCAACCAAACTGACTGAATAACTAAATAAAAAAATAAGTATGTAACAATACTACGTTGAAAGTCACTGCAGACATCTCAGAAAGTCAAAAGTGCTGTGCAAATTGTGAAAAGGACAAGTGGCCCCAGCCAGGACAATCTCATTGATGGTGGGTGAACTGAAGAACTGTTCCTCCTGTTATGGAGCACAATGAACAGGGAACATGTGTCCATTTCAAGAGTTCATGGACTGGTTCATAGCCTACCCAACTTGCCCAGCAGCTGCTCTGGCTGCAGAACATAGTGGAGTGAAGGGAATCTGTGGGCACCAGTGATAGTGCTGAAGGAGGTGTTGTAACATGCAGGAGCTGGGGTGCAAACTGGGGACTGCACCCTGGTGTCAATGAGGGTGAGCAGCTGCTCAGACATCTCCCTCTGCTGCTGTTGGTCCCTCATGCCCCAGGTAGGTAAGATCTTTCTGTCCTTCCTCCTCTCCTTTATGTCCTGCTTCTCCTTCTCATTCTTCATGACTAATTGTCTGTCCTGTGTCCAGAGTCACTGCATTTCTTTCAGAACATCCCTGAACCCTTCCCTTTTCCCTTGCTGGCAGGAGCAGATCTAGCAGTTTGAAAAGGTAGTATGGCAGAGCTCACTTGCAGGTGGGAGGGGGAGAGGGGTTGGGGAGACAGAGGTGGGCAAGGGTGGAACCATGGCCAAGACCAGAGCTTTTGGTAGCAAAGAACCCGCTTCACATTTGCCGCACATTTGAAAGGGGTATGAAAGCACCACCAAAGAACACACCAAATTTCTGGGTGATTTTTCTCTTAGCAAGAGACTTAATCACCTTGGTTCATCCAAAGAGGAAGGTTCTGCCAAGATAATGAAAGAGCATATTGTGTTTTGTTTATGGCAACAGGGAAAAGAATCTCCCTTTTTACATACTGAATCACATTACAGCCACAGTAGCTACCCATCTTCTTGGCATGCTTTTATTAGACCTGTTCAGAAATGTCTCCAAGATACGTTGCACACTAGGATAGGGATGGCCAACCTGCAACACGTGCTAAAAGTGGTTCTGTCAGCTTTTGTGTGTGGCATGAGGCAAACTCAGGAGGGGGTAGCCAATGCAGGAGCAGGTAGGGCAGGGAGCAGAGCAGCAGAGCAGACAAGGGAAAGGGATTGGAGTGGCACTTAGGAAGGAGATGGGGCTTAATTTGTGGCACACCTGCCAAGAAGGTTGACCGGTATCCAGGTTATAGCCATATTGGTCTAGAGGAAAAGGCAATCAGGATTCATAGTAGAGATGATATCTTTTATTAAACCAACATTTTTGCAAAAAAAAAATCTTTAATTGCAAGCTTTCGGGCACAAACACCCTTCATCAGGCATTAGAGAAAAGATTGTAAAAGTTCTCCTGGGTAGAAATGAAAGTTCATATTTCATAGGATTTCACAGAAGATGGAAAACTCCTCTGGGGTGTCAGTTCATAGCTGGTATGAAGCCTCTCACCTCCTGTGAGGACCTGGGTCAAAAAAGGTCAAACCTCACTCCACTAGGAGATTGCACATTTGATTCATTTTAAAGAATTGGGGGTAGGGGGGAATTAGGACCTGGTTGGGCAAGAGGCTTAATGTGCTTAGGTATGGACTGCATAGTATTGGTTTTAATACATCATCCTGGGAATGCCTTGAAGATGTTCAGACCTGTCCCATGAAGGGCACAGCTACATAGGGTGCAAGGCTGCTAGGGCATAATAATCACACTAGCTCCCAAACCAGAAGTTGAGTGATCACATGGCACAGTGCCTGGGCAGAACAAATTAACCCACCAGCAGCTGCTCTAAGGATGCTTCACTGCTTATGGATCAAGAAATCTGCATATAGTGTGTCTGTGCACAGGATTTGTTCTGAGCATGTTCAGCGAGACCAGGATAATTACTACTATGGGAAGACGTCCTGTGTTATGGATGCCATGCTCCGGAGGGAAGAGCACCTCTCTCACAAGGCAGAAAAATCCAACAGTACAACTCTAAGGATGTCTACCTGTTAGAAGTCCCTGGCTGGAAAAAAGAGCACCTTTTCCATGCCTGTGTTGGGGGCATCTATGTGGAGAGTATAGTTTATCACCTGCTGACTAATCAGTATCAATGAGCAGAGAGAGCTAAGCAGGGAATGGCCATGGGGAGGTTGCCTTGCTGATAAATCTTACCAGCCATCTTGAGTTTCTCCTGTAAAAGAATTCTTCACTCTGTAAAGCTTCATACACCAAGGAGGGTGGGGACATCAACAGGATGCTGAACTAGGTTGATAACAACAGAACTGCTTTCCTGCTCTGCTCAACTCTACCCCAGGACACTAAACTACTAAGGGAAGGCAGTGGGAGGATAGCCATTTTTGCTTGATACAACCGCTGGAACTTAGAGGACTGTCTGCAAGGAACAACATTACTATTGCTGTAATAATATATCAATGTGATGATATTATAAAGGGAGCAGCATATATCTGGAAATATGCGCTCATTGTGGCTAAGCCTAAAATCCCAACTTTGATTCTCTTCTTCAGTGATCAGTGCAAATGTAGATAGAATTAATATAAAATTGCACATTTAAAGCTTTCCCCTAACCCCTTGAAATTCATCTAGGTCAGTGGTTCTCAACTTTTATAGACTTGAGGAACCCCTCATTAGACTTAAATTGTCTGCCTATGTTCTTAGACCAACACAGCTACAACCTACACCTTTGAATCATTAGACTTATGGCACCCATCCAGAACTTTTGTGAATTGGGCAGCAACTCATTTAATAAAACTAACTTATTTTCAGTGCTTACCTGCTTGCAGAGGGACCAGGCAGTACAGGGATAGGCAGGAACTGTTATGTAGAGACAAAGCCCAAGGCTGAACTTACCTGTTTATCTTCTCACACCTCACGGCAACTTCCAAAGGATCCTACAACATTCCTGGGTGCCCCAGCACCCTGGCTGAAAAATCACTCATCTAAGTCAGGGGTGGGCAAAATGTGGCCCACCAGGCCATTCTATCTGGCCCACGAAGCACCTAAAAAATTGAGAAAATTAATATTTATCTGCCCCTGGATGCCTGTCATGTGGCCCTCTATGGCTTGCCAAAACTCAGTAAGCAGCCTCCGCCCAAAATAATTGCCCACCCCTGATCTAGGTCATACAGGGTAGTACTAGCAGAAGAAAACCCAGGGAAACAATGTGGCTTCTGTCTTCAGATGAAGCCAAGGTCATCATCACATAGCACAATAATTACTCAGACAACCCTGCCAGTTACACTGCATTTTCCTTGCCAATATTAACAAACATGGCAGTGGTCATTTTCCTGGCCACAGGTCCATCTGCTGGTGCTTCCTTTCTAGCCTGTACCCTGGGCCCATCACTCACTGCCTCCTTAGTACATAACCTCAAGACTAAGTAGCTCCGAGCTGATAGGGAAAGCTTCTACGCAAGACACTTACTGTGCATTAGACTAATAACATTGTGCAGTAGCAGAGCAGTTATTAACCATGCTCATAGCCTACTGTGCAGTGTTATTAGGCACAGTAAGCATCACTAAAAAACTGTGTGCTGGTGTTATTGTGCAGTAACTCTAGTTACTGAGCATTCGGTTATTACCTCATTAGAGGTACTAAACTAAATGTGCAGAAACTAAGGCACATTAGTGAATGTGTGGACACACCCGCACTAACCAAGCTTTTTGCCACTTATTTTTAACAAAGAAAAATCTTTTCTACAGAAACTATGCAGGTACAGGTCAACCAATTTGTATTATCTTTTATCTTCCCAAGCCCTTCTGAGAGAAGGTATGGAGGAAAACCAAACATTATTGTGAAAACAATTGTGTCCTTTCTGCTCTGCAAAGACGACATGCTTAGTTTGCAATCTGTTGGTGGTATTATGTTATGTCCCTTTCCTCCACATAATGTTTGTTTTGCTCATTATTTATGGCTTAAACTTTTCAGGACAGGCAATGTGTCTTATGTTTGCATAGCACCTACTACTATGCATCCACCTTGATGTTATTGGGGGCATCCCAATGCCTCTCTAATACACTACTACCAATTAAAACAACGTCCCAAGAAAAAGCCTGTTGTAGGTTGTTTGAGGAAGAAAGACCAAAAGGACAAAGAAAAAGGAAAATAGGTGTAAAAACACAAATCCTTTCAGTTCTGCATTCTTGTTTGGCTTACTCACATTTTTCTTGACCTTAAATCTACACTAAAACTTCATTATAATCAGAAGTGTTAATAGGATGTGAAACTTTTCACTTCCTGCTTCTGAGACTGATTGATTGTCAGTGAAGAATAACTCTATAAACAAAACAAAATCCAAATTCTTCCATTTCAATGAAAAGGCTGTAAATTTCAAAACTGATAACCAAACATTCC